GCTTCTCAAATTAATATCTTCCAAGCTTTCATTTTACTGTACGTAACATATTAATGTAATGGATTTTTCTTCCAATGTTTTCATATGTATATATTGCAATAGTTAGAATAATTTGTGTATAGTGTATATAAGAGGATATGTACATATTAAAGAGGAATAAATACATCTCCCATTTTTTAAAAATGCTTCTTAAATTAATATCTTCGAAGCTTTTATTTAACTGACATATTACAAAATGAAATTATACAATAATTAAAAATAAAAACTAAAATCGTCGCATCGGGATTCGAACGGGGTTTCGGACAGAGTCTTCATCGTGAACGCGTGAGGGAAATCATGCTGCTCTGGGCGTTTAGCACGTAAACTTTAGGTTGCTTGGGTTATGAGATTTTTTACCTGTCTTAGGCTACTCGGCCGTCGCATCGTAAACGTGTGACGTAGGACTTTCGCTGAGAACACCCAAAGCAGAGCGCACATGGACAGAGGTAGAAAACGCTTGTGGCTGGGAAGTCGCCGAGTAGGACGTAGTGGAGCGGGACTCACGGACAGGGTTGAATATGCTTGGGTAAAATACCCACGGGAGGCATGGAGAGGGTAAGCGTTCGCTCGGTTATCCCATGATTCTGGCATCACTGGTCAGGATGCCGTTCGGCTTTTCAAGCCATGAGTCCAAGTTCACGCTGTCGTTACCCGAGGCACATGGAAAAAGCGGGGGACAAGTTCGAGTGGCTGGCAAACGCGACCTTGGCTAACTTGTCTCGTGTTAATCTTGGCTCGCTTCCTTCAAGGCCATACGAACCAAGATATTCCTATATCAGACAACGCTTGATGCTGCTCTTTCGAGTGCTGTCTGAGTGCAGGTGGTACGTCTGGAGATGTTATCGTCCTCCTTACTGCGAATCGTGCTTTGGCTGTATCAAACTACGATGTCGGGAATAGTCTTCAGCTATTCCTTTTCACTTTCAACAACGATCATCTCGCGGAAGATTGAATATCAGACAAGTCTTGAAAGCGAAATCATCGTAGCGTTCGGTCAGAGTACCGTTAATTTTTCGGTTCTTCTGATCTTAGGATTAAAATCTTGCTATAATTGAATTAAATTTTACGGATAAAAGAAAACTTACGGGAGTTAAAAGATTGTCGCCGATTGATACAAAGACTATTTAGAATTTTCATGTTGAACAAAATGAATTCCACCATTTAGAACAATGCCGGTTTCTTTTGTATATCGTAAAAATTGTACCTCTGCAGTTTCTTCTGTGCACCCATCACTTTGAGTCCTTAATGCATAAGTAATGCATTATGCAATGAGTGCAGCTTCAAAATCAAATTCAGTCTGAAAGGTTTTATAAGTTTCAAATGATAGTTATTGAATTGTGGATTTCATACACTTACAGTGTGTATTTTCACACAGATACCTATGTGATTTTTTTAAAATTCACTATGGCGGAAGTTTATTAGAAATTAAGAATTTCTGTTAGATACGGATCATGTCGTTACTATTTTAATACACCTTCCTAATTTGTAAAAAATATTAACATATAGCATATTTTAAAATTTTTCTGGTTAGTAATTCTATATAAAACCATTCTTAAATTTCTGATCTCTTAATTCTGTGATTACGAATTATTCATGTTTGCGAATATTTTTTAGTTAGCAGTAAATACTTACAATTGTTAACTGCAACTTGCACGTGTTAACGTATGGACTGTTTGCAATATCGTTTCAAAAATTGTACTAAATTAGTATTTAACTATGCTACATTACTACAATTACTAGGAACGTTGCAGAGATAGACAAACTCATTATCTAAATAAAAAGTTTCGAATAACGAATAAAAGATAAAAAAAGTAGTTCATCATTTTTAATTGTTTAAACGTGGAAATTTCCTGAATATGTTAGTGTTACTCAAATTTGTGTAAATGATAGTAAATAGCCATTAAAGTTTAAAAAAGAGCCGATCAGCGTACTTTCTCAGCATTGTTCTTGTATTTTCATGAAAAATTCTTTACCTGGCATGAATTTGCTACACAGTATCGGATTCTGTAGACATCTCTGAAGAAGAAGTCATCCGGAAAAGGTGTCGGAACGGTTTTTAATTTAGGCAAGTCTAGAAAATCGTCGACGACGTGTGCACGATGTTTTGCCATTGCTAGCTTGCCTCGACTGGCCAGTGCAGTAACTACGCAAAATCGACACTATGATGTAAGTAGGTACGTACGTTATAATGATATCAGAAAAGGATATTACTTTTCCATCTTAAGCTGTCTTTCAGAAGTATTGAATCATAAATTTATTAAAAATAGACGCTTAAATAATGATCAAATAGACTTCGCGTTGCCTTTAAATAAGCTCTAAATATTGCAATATTTGGGTAAGTATTGTAAATCTTGTAAAATCGTAAATAATTATGCTTGCTTTTTAACGGCCTTACAGTACTGAGTCAGACGTATTCATGTATTGAACATCGAAATTGTTGAAAAATGGAAATAATCTAGAAAAGTTATTTATAATTGTATGATTAGTATTGAAGAATACGTGAAGAAATGAAACATTATACACAGGTATACATAGAAAGTAGGTGCCCATTGGACAGTATTATTGGTGTCGATTACGCGTAGCTATGGCACTGACTAATTGAGACGAGTGAGTAATAGCGTCATAGTGGCAAAACATCGTGCACACATCGTCGACGGATATTTTCTCAATCTATCCGAATTAAAAATAGTTCCAACACTTTTTATGAATGATTGTTTCTCCAGTACTGCCTACTGAATCCACTACTGTGTAGCAAATTCATACTGTAGAAAGTACGCACATCAACTCTTTTTTAACACGTTCCGTGCCACATGTACCACCGGTGGTACACGCAGCCTGAATGGGAAATTTAACGTGTACCATCGGTGGTACATATGGCACGGAACGTCTTAATGTTGAACTGTAGTTTAAAACAAGACCAACAGCCTCTATTAACAAAAGACTCACATTTTCGGTAATTTATGACTTGAAAAACGACATAAAGATTGTCTGGCTACGTACGGCCTTTTTCACTGTGGCACGGAACGTGTTAATCTTTGATGGCCATTTACGACCATGTACCATTAAAAACCACCAAATTTGATAACTGTATCCACTAATATATTTAGGAAACTCTCCTTTATCTTTGAAGACTAAATGAAACTTTCTATCGTGTTCAGTTTTCTTCTAACACATCATTTTTGCCAAAAATTCTGCGTATTTACGAAAATTCATGCTTTTTAAAAACCGAGCGTGGTTTTTAACAATTCTGCTTCTAGATTCGTGTTTGGGATGAGGAACCCTCCAAGGATCACCCAATGGATATTCAAAATTCGTGTTGAACAGTTTTTCCCCTTGACTTAAGGTCGAAAGGCATACGTTCCGCAATCGGACATTTATGCTTGGTGCACACTAGCGATGCGACGTTGTTGCGATTTCCTAGCGCTGACATATTTTGCAACGGTAATGTACTGAATATCACCGGGGATATCGTAGCGAGATTGTACGCACGTGTGTTGCATCGTTGGAAATATAAGCGCGAAAAAGAAAAACTCAAAAGCAACAAACATGCATTGTCTAAAATTTTAATTGAAAACGACTTTGAAACCGACCATTTGCATGCCAAATGTTTGCATTCGTACGTGTCGATGGTCACAACATATGGAATTTAATTAGTCCAAATAATTTTATATCAGGCTGTACGTCAAATTATTAGACTCCATCAGCTTATTATAGTACGGAAGGAAGTGGGCTCGATGTATGGTACCTACTTCATAAAGTGGTGCAGAAAGAATGGCCTAATTAACCCCCGTAATAGGGTTAAATATGGATAATTGCTGGACCTGGAAATACACTATCCCAACAGCCTAACATGCCGGACATACTAAATACACATAGCTTATCAGTGCATATTTTCATTTGGAGACTTTCTTTCCTAGTCTTTCAGCGTTACTATAAAAACCTATTCCGCAATTGTATGTTTCGTTCTGTATGTTTCTTGATATACTTCAATACAGCGAATTCAATACAGCGATTATTTTGTAAATATCTCGTTAAGTATTAGGTTTAGGACGTATGAAGGTCAACACATTTTTACTCAGAATTTTATACTCTATCGACCTATGGCACAAAAAATAGATCATTCCGTTAAAAAAAATCAAGGTGATCTTGAAATCTCTGAAATGCCTTTACCCACAAAAAAACATGTACTTTATAAGGTGTGCCCCTTGATGCCATTTAAATTCCCCGCCTCAAAATTTTTATAAATTGTAATATTAAGTCATTATTGGAGGTGATCATGTTAGCTGAGAATTCTTCCAATCGACTAAAAATTTTTTATCATTTCATAAAAATGAAGGGAAAAGGGAAATTAAGCGTTGCTTTTTCTGTCGTATGAATTACATTTTTAATTGCATGTAGAATTTTCTGTATGTATAACTTTACAACGTTTATTTGTTATTTCAAGTAAAACGGTGTAGGTGTCAGTAATTTGGTAGGTGACAGTAATTGGCTCTTTTACCCTATTAAATGTTCCAGAACATAAGCTGTGAATAGCTCACAAAATTTAAAGAAGGTGAATGGTTTGATGCGTTAAGTACGTCGGTTGTTTGTCCAAGTAATTTGTTGTGTAACTTACTGGAAATGAATATTAACCGAAACAATTTCCGAGGTAACAATTATGTAATAACAATTGCGAATTCTTCGAGAGGAAGTTTAATTTTAATAAATTGCGAATTGGTCGTCTAATATGATCATTTTAAAGTTATATATTTAATTTGCATGAATTTATTTTTGTTAGTTGTCATTTTGATTCCTTTATGTAGGCCCGCATTTCTAGGTGTCAACATACTTCATACGATATATCTTACATCAATTGTACACGAATATTATTCGATTTGATATCTTTATTTGATCTTATTTATTTGCTGGAATATGTGAACTTGATTGTTTCTAATAGAAAAAAATCTATGTTCTGATTTTAGGCAGTGAAACTCGAATCAGTGCACCAAGGAAGGACGAGGTATTTGGTCGTCGTGTCATGCACAGGAAGGCAAAATGCCGAAGAGAGTTGCCTTCTTGGTATCGACTGTCACGACAGGGCGACCGTCGGTCTTGTACTCCGAGTCCTGGCCGACACTGCCATTACTCTCGACGGCGACGGGTAGGTTGGCCGTTTTCAAATTTCACCATTGCTTCGGACATACTCGATAAATATGTACAGAGTGATGCACAAGAAACAGGACACCTAAATATCTCTGTTAGGATTGAAGATAGGAGAAAATGTTAATAACAAAGAAGAAAGTGGTACTGTTTAAAGCGGCAAATATGATGATATGAACAGATTTTCTAAGTGTTGCTATCTCCAAAGTTTTTTAAGGTCATCGATTATTTTTAAATGGCATATATTTTTGACATCATAACACAGTAGCTGATATCAAGGCGAGTTCAACGATGTTCTACATTATAACCTTGAAATGACATTGGACCAATAAATGTTTGATAAAGCAAGGACAACTTAAAAATGTGCAATCTCTTTATTTGAATTAAATTAAGCGTTCAAAATGGTGGCCTTTAACAGTAATACAAGCATTCAAACGTTTTGCAAGAATTTGAAGTGCCCTTTCAACCGATTCCGATGAAATTGATGCATAAAACCTAATTACTTTTTCTCGCATGTTATCTCGTGTAGTTGGTTACTCGCGATAAACATCATCTTTTAGTTTTCCCCACAGAATGAACGACCCTGGAATATTAACGTTTGGTGTGGAATTTAGAAAATAAAATAATTGAACTTTTTTTTACTTCCGGCACATTAAATGCAACGAGATTCGTTACATTTTCAGAAGAATCATTACCGGTTCTTTCCGAAGATTTTTTTTTTAAGAAAACTGACAGATCATATTTATCGTTAGCAACCAAATACACAAAACCTTTAATTGCTCGTATTATTACTGAAGGTCACCATTTTTATTCAACACTTTTAATCACCAATATAATTCAAATAAAGTGATTCTTCATTTTGAAGTTGTCATCGATTTATCATACATTTTTTTTAGTTTAAGGTCATGTCAAAAATTTACGATGCCATTTAAAAAACATCGATAACCTTAAAAAACCTTGAAGATAACAATCAGAAGATCTGGTCATATCAACATATTTGCCCCCTTGAACATTACCACTTTCATCTTTACCATTTTCTCCTACTTCAATCCTAACATAGATATTTAGGTGTTCAACTTTCCGTAATATTACCCTGTATATCTTCGTTCATTCTTGCTTACTTAATCACATAATCATCGCTGCATCGTGCTACATAGCATTGTGTTTTTATTGGAATACTATATAATGCTTGTTATGTGTATTTCTAAACACAGTCGAAAATGAAGTTATATTTCTCTAGTACGCTATATACATATGTACATTTTCAGTATTGGTAATGTTGATTAATGAAAGTGGACATAAGTGAATTCTGCAGACGTTGTTTCACAAGCTTTTAAACTTCAATTCTTAGAGTTCATAATTTTTAAGGTCACATTTTCGGATGACACTTTTTCCAAATCTCCTTTGCAATAATAGCTGCTGAAATGAAATTTTCAGCGTCCAACTTGAGGTACATAAGTGATCAAAATTTTAAACCTGAATTAAATCTCAACAGCATGAGTTTATACAGGAATGACAAACCTTCTGTTGAGGAAATCACGCATTACAATTTAGTCAAGTATGAGTTTGGATATTTCGCCTTTAATACGTACTCTGGTATGACGCGTGTTGTTTCCGTTTTATTAGACGTCCGAGAGCGTTTGAACGTAATACAACAAATGTAACGGACGGTGGGTTGAACGTTATACAAATACAAATAGATTTAAAGTGTTATAATAAAGTAGTTATCGGATAATCACATTTGAACTCATTTTTTAACAACAATCACAGCACCTTCTACGTACATCAATATGTTAATTCATTAGGCATGCTCTGTATTAGTCTTCAACTAGTGTACAAAAGTAAAACTAGTGATACCAAGTATTTTCTTAACTTTTCTCAATTGTTACACATATTGAATCATCTTCAGAAATTAATTAAATTTCGACTAGTATTGTTCCCATAAGTTAAGGGGAGAAGCATATTGTATTATATAATACCATGTACATAATTAGATGATCTCATTGTAAAAACTTATCGTGAGTTAGCAATTGTATCGTAACATAGTGTTAAATGATTATCGTATAACTTTTAGTACAGCATCACTTGTATTTGGTAAAACATGAAAAATATTAGAAAAATATAGAATTCTTTTCGGACGTTTCTGAGATTTAATTAAATGCAGAGACAGGAATCTGATGCATTATTAAATAAGGCCAAATGTCAATAAGCTACACTGTGTTTAAATGTACCAGACTTCTCACGAATAACACTGATCAACGCGTATTCGGACCATTTCTTGTAGATTTTCATGCGCTCAGAAAACGTTCGGACTTATTTTCATCAGGAGAATCTCCTACATTTATTCATAACATTTTTAAGAAAGTACACTGAAAGGAGTAAAAGTTTAAATGCTTACTCATGCGTTATATCACGATACGAATTCTATGTTATTAAATATAGTCCGATTTATGTCGGGTTTGGACTTTTTTTCATCGAGAGAATCTCCTACATTTATTCATAACATTTTTAAGTACACTGAAAGTTACTAACGTCTATTTGTTGGGTAGGAGCCAGTTAATAAACCACCACTTGTTTATTCTCTTTAACTGTAAATCTATTAATATTAATGACTACATAATAATGCTTATACATAATTCTAACAAAGTACAAAATCGCATAAGTATGTGCGCTACGAGAAACAACGAACAACGTACCTAATAATCCAAAACAAAAAAGTAACTACTCTTTTTCAGTTTCCCCGATCGATGGCGCTACCGATCTATCTGGGTATATCTATAACCGAATACCACAATCTCTATGCCTGTGATCATACAATATAACATCACTGTTAAATATTAGTGGTCCGAATAAGTGTTGAACAATGTTGTTAGTAAAATTTTACCATTCACAAGCTTCAAGTTATCAGTCCTAAGAAATTCTGTTGCACAATAGTAACAAATTCCTTAACAAAACAAGTAGAGTAATTCAAGTCAATTTGACAAATTACGAGTCGGTTGATTCTCTTATTTCACGCTTTGGGGTTATGTGCACCATGGTAGAAGTGAATTACTGATCAACATAACCAAGTGCGTTCTCTTTTATCAGAAATGAGTAAGTGCGAAGATCAACGCAGACTAAAGTTGTGCGTGTTTACAAATATTAACTCTAGAACAGTAACATAACTTTTTTGTGCGCAAACAGTAACGTGGTGTTGTATGTGACACCACTTAAATAACTACATAGTTGTAAACAAAGTTCTTAATAAAAACGCAGATGTATGAGGTTCTGTAATATGTATTCATTTAATATAACAAATAATAGGTAGTAAATGAACATAAATATATTATTTTGGCCTGAAACTGAAAAAAAACGTAAACATGTACTTTTAATAACTTAACAAATTTTAGAATGTATACTTAAAATATTATGATAAATTTGAACTTTCGTATTAACAAATTATATTTATTCGGTGCAATCAATGCACATTGCTAATCTGTGTTTAGCACAATGCAAACTTGCATTTAACACATGTGTTTCGTACCGTGACGTGGTGTCGTATATGACATAAATCCAAATATCTTCATAACCATACATAAACCCGGAGTGCGCTCCATTACGTTTTAATCACTAGTACTTACTCGAAAGGTATAGTAAATTACGCATCTGTCCACGCTTGATCATACCATAAGGTCGAATTGAATATTGGCGATATCACTGGCGACACCATGTTACTGTTCTACGGTTAAAAAGCACAGTAGCTTATTATTTGAACAATTTAGCAATAAACAATGAAAAAGAATATCATCAATCATAACTGAAATATCTAAAAAAAAAACAAAGTTAATAAAAATCCACTAATCAGTAGTTAGAAATATTAGCCTGTAAACAAAACTATCAGTCTTCCAAGACCTATAAAAATTTTACAAGAAAATTTGTATAAGGTCAATGTCCCTATTTCTTATCACGTCCCAATTTCTCCTCAATATGTATATTTTTTATTTAATGTAAAAAGTTAAATAATAAATTGGTTATACAAAAAATTATTTAAATTCGTTCAGTATTTCCGCACCAAATACTACAGCCCGCTGTTATAGATGGCAGCATTTTAATAGAAATAAATGTAATAAGTGTGTCCGTCGTAAAGAAACGTGATTTGAGCGGTTCTGTTGCAATCGTGAATTACAGGTGGACGCTGCGTTTTTACTAAAAAAAACTTACGGAATCTTTAATATTGTTTGCCAAAGTTTTGTTTTGGCACTCCCAATTTTTGCTGAGCAGAAATAGGGACACGCTCGTGAGCAAAAATGCGAGCATTTTCATTTTTGCTGAGTAGAAATAGGGACGTTTTATACTTCATATTAAATGAACTATTATTGAGTTAAAATGGTTTTAAAAATAGTTTTATTTAAATTCAATTATAGAGGAAGGTTTATAATTTATATCTATTAAGTTTTTTTGTCGAATGTTGTATAAATAGATAATAAATATCAATTTCTGCGACAGTAGAAATCTTACATGATTAGAAATAGGGACATTGACCTTATGATGTAAAATTGCATTTATTGTGCAGTGAACACTTGGAAAATGTACTAATACTAATATTAAAGATTTAACTTGTAACTTGTAAAGTTGTAAAAACTGTTTGTGCAACTGAAATCTACAATGTGAGCTTATAATTTGTACATTTCCTAATATTATTATTTAGTAAATTCTTGTGTAAGAGGTCATAGCTTGAACTTTAGAGTTTCGATTCTATTTCACTGTGTCATTTTACAATTAATCGGCAGTTTATTCCAGCGAGGCTTATTCAAAGAGAAGAGAAAGCGCACAGAATTTTACGGGTTATCAGATATTTGCTCCCGCGGATAGTTCCGTACTTTCTCTTCGGCTCATTGCTATTCTGCGTCGAATTAAAACAACCGCCGGACAAATCACTCGGGTTTTAGCCTATCTCTCGCAATTAAGCCAGTTTCGCCATGCGTAACAAAGTTTTCAATCTCGTAAACGAAAAAAAGGAAA